GCCGAGCACGCCTGCTCTCCCCTCCTCGCTTGGAGTCTCTGCTGTGATTGGAGGCTGGCCAATCACAGCAGAAGAGGCCTTTTGGTGGGAGGATTCACCATCTGTTTCCAAAAAAGGAAGAGAAGGACAGACGGAGGGATCTTCAGCCTTCCGAAAGGGGTTCCTAAGACCATCAGAAATATATGTTTTCTTATTATCTTTAGTGACCCCTCTGAACCCCCCTCACAACTCCCAGGTTGAGAAACGTTGCCTTAAGGAGTCACACTCTCTCAGCCTTTCAACTAATCTTGCTAAGAAAACCCTGTGACAGGGGTCCCTTCTGCACTGCCATATAAAATCAGATTATCTGCTTTGAACTGGATTATATGGCAGTGTAGACTCATATAATCCCATTCAAACAGATAATCTGGATTATTTGCTTTGATAATCTGGTATATAAAATAGTGTAGAAGTGGCCAGAGTCACCTTAGGCTCACCGTAAGCCAGAAACAAAAGCACACCACAGCAGCACATCTTCAGAAGAGTCATTTCCTGCTTGTGAAATAGAGGAAGCTTGTTACTTTCAGTTGCACAAACAGCTAAATTTAAGGGGAAAACCTGCCTGACTAATCAAGCCTAGCTTTTTAGCCAGTTAAGCATTCTGTAGACAATTAAGCTAATAGTTTTAACTAAACTGCTTGATCTTTCTGGACTAGATTCCCCAAATGAATTGCAAAAATCCTAATTATTCTGAAGGTACCAGATTCAGTCTGAACTTAGAAACTAAGTAGGGTCAGGCTTGCAATTAYTGGAAAGATTGCTAATGATTTCCAGGTGTGAATGAAGTCGAGGAGGAATTTAAAAGGGTCTTGCCCTGAAGGAGAGACCCTGCGGACCCACCAAAGAGGGCTCGCTACAATGGTGAGCAAAGAGAAGCCGCAAATTAAAAGATTTCCCTAAGTTCCCAAAAGAATCACAAAAGTTGAAGGAAGCGCCACCAAGTTGATTTTATTGCAATCCAGCTGTAAAGGATGCAAAGCAGCAATATTTCGCCAAGCTGAGCATACAGTGTACACAAATAAAGGCATCTTATACATAAAACAGAGCTTTCTGGTTTGAATTTCCCGCTCCCCGCCCCTCTGCCAGCTCGACAGTGATTAGTTGGTGCTCTACAGCTGGGAGGAGGCTTGGCCACCTTCTGAGCCCCTGAGCCAATTGCTGAGCTTCTGCCACCTCAGCGTCCTGATGAATCAGGAGAGAGGGAGATGGGGCAAGGGGGAAACAATGCATTCTTGAGTGGATTATGGAGATATGAAATGTCCAAGCGGCCAGAGAGTAGATAATTTGTGGGTTGTGTTTCTTCCTCAGCTTCCCTATGACGTCAGTGGTTCCCTTGATGTATGTCAAGAACACTTTTCCTCTGGGTGGATCTTCATCTTGACTCTCTTGGTTTGTTCTTGGTATTGCAGCTATTTTGATGTCTGTGGTGGAATCTCCATTGGCCTGTAGAGACCAGATGCTGTTGGTATAATTCAGAGAACAGCAAAGGCAAGCCTTCTAAAACCTTGCCAAGCAAACCCTAGGGTCACCACAAACTGGAGTTTCCCATTCCCTTGCTCCTGTATGCAGTCAGCGATGTTTTACGACAGTTCTCTCCATAGGTTATTGGGCACTGTTTTGAGCTTAAATTATTGTTATTTACTGATTTATTTATTTATGACATTTATATACCCCAAGTCCCTTCAGGGAGATGAAGGCAAGGTACAAAAATAAAGTTGTTGTTGTTGTTATCATTTAGATCAAATTTATTTAGGCTGAAGATTTAAATGAAAGTTGTACAAATGTGACCTCACAAATCCTTCTGGCTTAGTATTCCCCTTAGCCCTAACTAATATAAGGAGAGCCAGCATGGTATGTAGTCTGAATATTGGAATATCTGCAGCTTTGAAACTCAGAGGAGTCTTTTTCTGAATATCTCGCACCTTTTCATAAGCCGTGCCTGATTGATGGTGTTGTTGTACCTATTGAGCTGTGTTGGCGGTCGGCCTCTTCTTAAGGCTATTTTTGGGTTGTAGGAAACAAGGCAGTGATGAAAGAATTATACTTATTTATAGAGTGTTGTAGAGCCGGTGTGGTGGTTTGCGCATTGGACTACGGCTCCAGAGACAAAGCAAAATCCATTTCAACAAAACAAAATGAATGCCATCCTTTAGAATTGGGTCACATTTCCAAGACATCTAATTGGGCATGTGCAAATACAAGCAGCCTGCAAATTGCAAACAAGATAGGTTCTGTCAAAGGTTTTCATTTATTAATTATGTATTTGTATTGTTGAAGGCTTTCATGGCTGGAATCACTCAGTTCTTGTGGGTTTTTTCGGGCTATATGGCCATGTTCTGGAGGCATTTCTCCTGACGTTTTGCCTGCATCTATGGCAAGCATCCTCAGAGGTGAGGTCTGCTGGAGCTGGGAAAAAAGGGGTTTATATATCTGTGGAATGACCAGGGTGAGACAAAGGGCTTTTGTAAGTTGGGCTAGGTGTGAATCTTTCAACTGACCACCTTGATTAGCATACAATGGGCTGACTGTGCCTGGAGCAAACTCTTCTTGAAAGGTGATTAGATGTCCCTGCCTATTTTTCTCTCTGCTGTTTTTGCTGTTGCAATTTTAGAATTTTTTTAATACTGGTAGCCAGATTTTGTTCATTTTCATGGTTTCTTCCTTTCTGTTGAAATTGTCCACATGTTTATGTCATTCGATGCCATAACAATATACAGTTAAAACATTTAAAACAAATTTGTAAAATCCATACCATAAAACCATTTAAAACACATAAAACCAATGCCTTCACTGTTAATCTCGTTGTCCAAAATCATTGTTTGAGCCGTCCCACAATTCAGTATCACATACAAGTTCCTCGTAGTTCCGTGTTTGTCTATTGTACTGCATTTCCAAAGGCTTGCTTTAAAAGCCAGGTTTTTACATTTTTCCAGAGGTCAGGAGGAAGAGGGGTGATCTAATATCCCTAGTGAGGGAGTTCCACAGCCAAGAGGCCACCACTGAGAAGGCCTGATCTCTTGTCCCCACCAGCCACAATTACGAAGAAGGCGGGATTGAGAGCGGGGCCTCCCCAGCCGATCCTAAGCTCCTAGATGGTTCATAGGGAGAGATATGTTCTGACAGGTAAGTTGGGCTGGAACCATTTAGAGCAGTGGTTCTCAACTTGAGATCCCCAGATGTTTTTGGCCTTCAACTCCCAGAAATCCTAACAGCTGCTAAACTGGCTGGGATTTCTGGGAATTGTAGGCCAAAAACATCTGGGGACCCCAGGTTGAGAACCACTGATTTAGAGCTTTATAGGCTAAAGCCAGCACTTTGAATTGTGTCCGGTAGCAAACTGGAGCTAAGTTCAGACTGAATCTGGTGCCCTCAGGGAAATTAGGAATTCTATGGAGCTGACGCAACAGAGGAGTTGCATGCTCCCTGAACGCTGTTCCAGTGAGCAACCTGGCTGACGCCCACTGGACCATTTGAAGCTTCCAAACAGTCTTCAAGGCAACCCCACGTAGAGTGCGTTGAAGTAGTCTATACGGAATGTAACCAGAGTGTGGACTACCATGGCCAAGTAAGACTTCCCAAGGCACAGGTGCAACTGGTGCACAAGTTTTACCTGTGCTCCCCTAGCCACCGCCGAAATCAGGGGTTCCGGACTCAGCAGTGAGTCCAGGAGAACTCCCAAGCTGCAAACCTGTATCTTCAGGGGAGTGTAACTTCATCCAGCACCTGCTGTAGCCTGACGCCCTGTTCAGCCTTCCGACTGACCAGGAGTACCTCTGTCTTTCTGGATTCATTCCATTTGTTTGCTCTCATCCAGACCGTCACAGCTGTCAAGCTTAGTAGCAGGTGTAAGAGTGATAGAGTTGAAAGTCATCTGCATACAGGTGACATCGAACCCTGAAAATCCAGATGGTTATGGCTGGAATCAGGCATGTAGCCGGGGGGGGGGGGGGGGGGGGGGGGGGGCTTGAGGGGCTTCAGCCCCCCCCCGAAATTCTCATGGTGGTTCGCGAAAAGGCCTTACTGGTGCATTATTTAAACTGTTATGTTTATTCATATCATGATCTGATCACCATACTCAATATATCCCATATGCATGGGGGTATTGGGGTAATGATACAAAAGGTTTGCTAGGCTAGACCCTCTTTCACTCAGACTCAGCCCCCCCCCCCGAAACTCAGCCCCCCCAACCCCCCCCTGAATTTTTTTTCCCCCCCCCCCCCCCCCGAAATGAAATCCTGGCTACGGGCCTGGCTGGAATCACTGGGTTGCTGTGAGTTTTCTGGACTGTATAGCCATACAGCCCGGAAAACTCACAGCAATCCAAGATAGGTTCTGCAGGTTTGTTCTTGTCGGGCGACAAAGGCCCTCCTCATAAATGTACAGTAGAGTAACTTAGTAGTAGCAGCATGACTCAGCACCAGTAGTCCAAAGTGATAAAAAGAATCCTTCCATTGTAAATCTGAGCAACTACAACTCCCAAGTGACAAAATCAATCCCCCACCCAACCTCACCAATATTCAAATTGGGCATATCGGGTATTTGTGCCAAATTTGGTCCAGTGAATGAAAATACATCCTGCGTATCAGATATTTACATGACGATTCAGAACAGTAACAAATGTACAGTTATGAAGTAGCAACAAAAATAATGTTATGGTTGGGGGTCACCACAGCATGAGGAAATGTATTAAGGCCTCGTGGCATTAGGAAGGCTGAGAACCACTGTTCTAAGTGGTGTCAAACTGCATTCATGCCAAAGTGTTGATGCAGGGAGTCTCTGCTTTCATCCCAACTCTGCGCAAATGCTCCAAAAACCCAAACGCGCCCTTGGGCAGCATTTTAGAGAGTCCTCCCTCCCCAGGATTGTTCAGGGATGCAACCCAGCCTTCCTTGCCTTCTGCTTCACTCGATTGTGGGCTTGGAAAGGCTCTCTTTGGGCGAGGCGGGGTTTCCTCGACGCCCCGCCCGGGAACCACCTGCTCGCCTTTTGCAGGGAAGACGACAGCAACTCCAGCTCTTTTTGGCTTTTCTGCGGCCGCCTTTGCGCAAAAGCTGCCGGAGGCTCCCTTTGCACTGGGAAGGCGAGGCTGGAGGACAGGTTAGGGGGGACCCCTTGGAAGGGTTTCCCCTTGGACCCCGTTCCCCCCAAACAAACCCGAAGCCAGGAGACGGAGAGAAAGGAAGGAAGGAGCAAGCTCTCCTCCGGAGGTGAGTCTGGCGCGCAGGATTCGTGCGTCCTAGGGCGCATCGGTCTCCGCTTTAGAAATAACGCCCTTCGAGGCCACTTCCAAGCCAGGGTTCAAGGCTATGKCATCCTGGGATTCGTAGTTTGCAGTGCCAACACTCWGGGGAAGAGAAGCCTTTGGAGATCTACATCTCCTCCACGTTTGGAGACGCCAGAAGAGCCAAAAAAGTCGGCAGGAGATGCGCAATGCCCTGACTTTGGAGAGGAGAGCGCCTCCAAAGATAGATATGGATCTATAGCAGTGTTTCTCAACCTGGCGGAGGGGGGGGGGTCACCAGAGCCCATCAGGAAAAACAGTATTTTCTGTTGGTCATGGAGGTTCTGCGTGGGGTTCAGAATGCTTTTGATTGTAGGTGAACTATAAATYCCAGCAACTACAACTCCCAAATGTCGAGGTCTATTTTCCCCAAACTCCACCAGTGTACACATTTGGGCATATTGAGTATTTATGCTAAGTTTGGTCCAGATCCATCATTGTTCGAGTCCACAGTGCTCTCTTGATGTAGGTGAACTACAACTCCAAAATTCAAGATCAATGCCCGTCAAACCCTTCCAGCATTTTCGGTTGCTCGTGGAAGTTCTGTGTCCCAAGTTTGGTTAAATTCCATCATTGGTGGAGATCAGAATGTTCTTTGATTGTAGGTGAACTACAACTCCAAAACTCAAGGTCAGAGCTCACCAAACCCAGTATTTTCTGTTGGTCATGGGAGTTCAGTGTGCCAAGTTTAGTTCAATTCCATCGTTGGTGGATTCAGAATGCTCTTTAAATGTAGGTGAACTCTAAATCCCAGCAACTACAACTCCCAAATGTCAAGGTCTATTTTCCCTAAACCCCACCAGTGTTCTCATTTGGGAATATTGAGTATCTGTGCCAAGTTTGGTTCACATCCATCATTGTTTGAATCCACAGTGCTCCATTGTTGGTGGAGTTCAGGATGCTCTTGGATTGTGGGTGAACTATACATCCCAGCAACTACCAATCCTGCCAGTATTCAAATTTGGGTGTATATCGGGTCCACATTAATCATTGTTTGAGTCCACAGTGCTCTCTGGATGTAGGTGAACTACAACTCCAAAACTCGAAGTCAGTGCTCACCAAATCCTTTCAGTACTTTCTGTTGGTCATGGGAGGTCTGTGTGCCAAGTTTGGTTCAATTCCATTGTTGGTGGAGTTCAGAATTCTCTTTGATTGTACGTGAACTATAAAACCCAGCAACCACAACTCCCAAATGACAAAACCAATTCCCACCCAACCCCACCAGTATTCAAATTTGGGCGTATCGAGTATTTGTGCCAAATTTAGTCCAGTGAATAGTCCTGCATATCAGATATTTACATGACGATTCAGAGCAAAATTACAGTTATGAAGTAGCAACGAAAATAATTGTATGGTTGAGGATCACCACAACATGACGAATTGTATTAAGGTGTTGCGGCATTAGGAAGATGGAGACACACTGATTTATAGCATATGTTGTCAAAGGCTTTCAAGGCCGGAACCACTGGGTTGCTGTGAGTTTTTCAGGCTGTATGGCCATGTTCCAGAAGCATTCTCTCCAGACATGTCACCCACATCTATGGCAGGCACCCTCAGAGATTGTGAGGTCTGTTGGAAACTCGGCAAGTGAGGTTTATATATCTGTGGAATGATGCCCAGGGCGGGAGAAAGAACTCTTGTCTGCTTGAGGCAGGTGTGAATGTTGCAGTTGGCCACCTTGATTAGCACTGAAYGGCCTTGCAGCTTCAAAGCCTGGTTGGTTGGTTGCTTCCTGGGGGATTCTTTTGTTGGGAGTTGTTAGCTGGCCCTCACAACCTCCGAGGATGCCTGCCATAGATGTGGATGAAACTTCAGGAGAGAATGCTTCTGGAACATGGTCATACAGCCCAAAAAACTTACAGCAACCCAGTGATTCTGGCCCTGAAAGCCTTCGACAACACATTGCCATTTCTCCAATACTGGGAGAAAGAACTCTTGTCCCTTTTGAGGCAAGTGTGAATGTTGCCATTGGCAACCTTGATTAGCATTGAATGGCCTTGCAGCTTCAAAACCTGGCTGCTTCCTGGCTGGGGGAATCCTTTGTTGGGAAGTGTTAGCTGATGGTGGCACAATGGGTTAACTGTTAAACCCTTGTGCTAGCAGGACTGCTGGCTGACAGGTCAGTGGTTCGAATCTGGAAAGAGTGGGTTGAGCTCCCTTTGTCAGCTCCAGCTTCCCATGAGGGACATGAGAGAAGCCTCCCATAGGATGGCAAAACATCCAGGCATCCCCTGGGCAACGTCCTTGCAGATAGCCAATTCTCTCACACCAGAAGCGACTTCCAGTTTCTCAAGTCGCTCCTGACATGAAAATAATAATAATAATAATAATAATAATTATTATTATTATTATGTTCGTGTCAGGAGCGACTTGAGAAACTGCAAGTCGCTTCTGGTGTGAGAGAAATAATAATAATAATTATAATAATTATTATTATTTAGAGACTGTTGGCCATCTATTGGGAGGGCTTGGATGGTGCCTTCCTGCCTGGCAGGAGGTCTATTCTCTCACACCAGAAGCGACTTGCAGTTTCTCAAAGTCGCTGCTGACATGAATAAACAAGCTGGCCCTGATTGTTTCTTGTCAACAACAAAATCCTTTAGGGAGGTGACTTTTTGGAATGACATCTCCCTGCTGAATAGGTGTTTTGAGAAAAAAACCTTCTCAAGTATTGTTTCTCCAGTGTGATATTTGTATGCCACAGTAGGTCCCTTTCTGAATCTCTCCCTCTCTCTCTGGCATTTCCCTCCTCCACCAAAGTGAAGGTGGAACGCCTCTTCTGTAAGGCACTGTGTGAAACCAGCCCTCTTTATATAGGCTTCTCTTATAATTAATCTCCTTTTAGCTCACACTTCTCCAGTCTGCCTGTGGTTAAGACTGATTTTAAAGCATTTCTTTTCCATGGAACAACCAGGTTTTTAAAGACTGTGCTCTTAGGCTTTGACAGAGTGGATCACAGAGTGTTTCCTCCATCTCAACTTGCATAGAATTATAGTCCTTAAGGTCTTTAGGGCAGCATTTCTCAACCTGAGGGTTGGGACCCCTGGAGGGGTTGTGAGGGGGTGTTAGAGAGGTCGCCAAAGACTATCAGAAAATATAGTATTTGCTATTGGTCATGGGGGTTCTGTGGGCGAAGTTTGGCCCAATTCTATCATTGGTGTGGTTCAGATTGTAGGTGAACTATAAATCCCAGCAACTATAACTCCCAAATGCCAAGGTCTATTTTCCCCAAACTCCACCAGTGTTCACATTTGGGAATATTGAGTATTAGTGCCAAGTTTGATCCAGATCAATCATTGTTTGAGTCCACAGTGCTCTCTGGATGTAGGTGAACTACAACTCCAAAACTCAAGGTAAATGCCCATCAAACCCTTCCAGCATTTTCTCTTGGTCATGGGAGTTCTGTGTGCCAAGTTTGGCTCAGTTCCATCGTTGGTGGAGTTCAGAATGCTCTTTGATTGTAGGTGAGCTATAAATCCCAGCAATTACAACTCCGAAATGTCAAGGTCTGTTTTCCCCAACCTCCATCAGTGTTCACATTTGGGAAATGTTGAGTGTTTGTGCCAAGTTTCATCCAGATCAATCATAGTTTGAGCCACAGTGCTCTCTAGATGTAGGTGAAGTACAACTCCAAAACTTAAGGTCAATGCCCATGAAACCCTTCCAATGTTTTCTATTCGTCATGGGAGTTCTGTCTGCCAAATTCAATTCAATTCCATCATTGGTGGAGTTCAGAATGTTCTTTGATTGTAGGTGAACTATCAATCCCAGCAACTACCACTCCCAAATGACAAAATCAATCCTTCCCTGACCCAATCAAACCATTCCAACGTTTTCTGTTGATCATGGGAGTTCTGTGTGCCAAGTTTAGCTCAATTCCATCATTGGTGGAGTTCAGAATGTTCTTTGATAGTAGGTGAACTTTCAATCCCAGCAACTACAACTCCCAAATGTCAAGTTCTATTTTCCCCAAACTCCATCAGTGTTCACATTTGGGAATATTGAGTATTTGTGCCAAGTTTCATCCAGATGAATCATAGTTTGAGTTCACAGTGCTTGCTAGATATAGGCAAACTACAACTCCAAAACTCAAGTCAATGCCACCAAACCCTTTCAGTATTTTCAGTTGGTCATGGAAGTTCTGTGTGCCAAGTTTCAATTCCATCGTTGGTGGAGTTCAGAATGCTCTTTGATTGCAGGTGAACTGTAAATCCCAGTAACTACAACTCCCAAAAGACAAAATCAATCCCCAACTCCAACAGTATTCAAATTTGGGCTTTTTGGGTATTTGTGGCAAATTTGGTCCAGTGAATGAAAATACATCCTGCATATCAGATATTTACATTATGATTCATAACAGTAACAAAATTACAATTACGAAGTAGCAACAAAAATAATTTTACGGGTGGGGGTCACCACAACATGAGGAACTGTATTAAGGGGTCGCGGCAAAATGATTCGTTGATTATTTTGCACAGTTTAGGTTTGGGTGACACACCTACACACTGCAGCTGACACACTAATATGTCACGACACACAGTTTGGAAAGCTCTGAAAGAAGGTGTGGTGCCTGGAGGGGAGGAATCGGGGTCAACTCCAGGGCGGAATAGTCTCAATTCTGTAGATTTATTTTGCTGGTGTAGACAATTCCTAGATAGAATAAGATATCTACTAGGACAGGGCTGTGAATAACAGTAAGGAGTTGGAGTTCTGTATTAGGTAGAAAAAATGAAATGCAATGATACAGAAAGGGGGACGCATGGCTCGAGAGCAGTACATGTGAAAAAGATCATGAGCCAAAAATGTGATGTGGTGGCAAAAAAGGCCAATGGGATTTTGGCCTGCATCAATAGGAGTCTAGTGTCTAGATCCAGGGAAGTCATGCTCCCCATGCTCTCTTCTGCCTTGGTTAGACCACACCTGGAA